CCAAAGAATACATATTCTATTCATACGAAACTATCGTAAAAATGTTGTCGGCATTAAATAACACATTGAGGTTGATATGCCGTTAAACAAAATAAACCAAACCAATCTAAACAAATGAATACATATTCTATTCATACAAAACTATCGTAAAAATGTTGTCGGCATTAAATAACCCATTGAGGTTGATATGCCGCTAAACAAAATAAACGAAACCAATCTAAACCAAAGAATACATATTCTATTCATACGAAACTATCGTAAAAATGTTGTCGGCATTAAATAACACATTGAGGTTGATATGTCGCTAAAGAAAATAAAGCAAACCAATCTAAACCAAAGAATACATATTCTATTCATACGAATCTATCCTAAAACACTTGTCATCATTTAATAACCCATTAAGGTGGATAAGCCTTTAAACAAAATAAACGAAACCAATCTAAACCAAAGAATACATATTCTATTCATACGAATCTATCCTAAAAAATTTGTCTGCATTTAATAACGCATTGAGGTTGATATGCCGTAAAACAAAATAAAAAACCCATCTAAACCAAAGAATACATATTCTATTCATACGAATCTATCCTAAAAAAACTTGTCTGCATTTAATAACCCATTAAGATTGATATGCCGTAAAACAAAATAAACCAAACCCATCTAACCCAAAGAATACATATTCTATTCATACAAATCTATCCTAAAAATGTTGTCGGCATTAAATAACACATTGAGGTTTATATGCCGTAAAAAAAATAAATAAAACCAATCTAAACCAAAGAATAGATTTTCTATTCATACGCATCTATCCTAAAAATGATGTCGGCATTAAATAACCCATTGAGGTTGATATGCCGCTAAACAAAATAAACGAAACCAATATAAACCAAAAATACATATTCTATTCATTCAAAACTATCGTAAAAATGTTGTCGGCATTAAATAACCCATTGAGGTTGATATGTCGTTAAACAAAATAAACCAAACCAATCTAAACCAAAGAATACATATTCTATTCATACAAAACTATCCTAAAACATGTTGTCGGCATTAAATAACCCATTAAGGTTGATAAGCCTTTAAACAAAATAAACGAAACCAATCTAAACCAAAGAATACATATTCTATTCATACGGATCTATCCTAAAAATGTTGTCGGCATTAAATAACGCATTGAGGTTGATATGCCGTTAAACAAAATAAAGCAAACAATCTAAACCAAAGAATACATATTCTATTCATACGAATCTATCCTAAAAAAACTTGTCTGCATTTAATAACCCATTGAGGTTGATATGCCGTTAAACAAAATAAACCAAACCAATATAAACAAATGAATACATATTCTATTCATACAAAACTATCGTAAAAATGTTGTCGGCATTAAATAACCCATTGAGGTTGATATGCCGCTAAACAAAATAAACGAAACCAATCTAAACCAAAGAATACATATTCTATTCATACAAAACTATCCTAAAAATGTTGTCGGCATTAAATAACCCATTGAGGTTGATATGCCGTTAAACAAAATAAACCAAACCAATCTAAACAAATGAATACATATTCTATTCATACAAAACTATCGTAAAAATGTTGTCGGCATTAAATAACCCATTGAGGTTGATATGCCGTTAAACAAAATAAACGAAACCAATCTTAACAAAAGAATACATATTCTATTCATACGAAAACTATCGTAAAAATGTTGTCGGCATTAAATAACCCATTGAGGTTGATATGCCGTTAAACAAAATAAACGAAACCAATCTAAACCAAAGAATACATATTCTATTCATACGGATCTATCCTAAAAATCTTGTCGGCATTAAATAACCCATTAAGATTGATATGCCGTTAAACAAAATAAACCAAACCCATCTAAACCAAATAATACATATTCTATTCATACAAATCTATCCTAAAAATGTTGTCATCATTTAATATCCCATTAGGTTTATAAGCCTTTAAACAAAATAAACGAAACCAATCTAAACCAAAAGAATAGATTTTCTATTCATACGGATCTATCCTAAAATGATGTCGGCATTAAATAACCCATTGAGGTTGATATGCCGCTAAACAAAATAAACGAAACCAATATAAACCAAAAATACATATTCTATTCATTCGGATCTATCCTAAAAATGTTGTCGGCATTAAATAACCCATTGAGGTTGATATGCCGTTAAACAAAATAAACCAAACCAATCTAAACAAATGAATACATATTCTATTCATACAAAACTATCGTAAAAATGTTGTCGGCATTAAATAACCCATTGAGGTTGATATGCCGTTAAACAAAATAAACGAAACCAATCTAAACCAAAGAATACATATTCTATTCATACGGATCTATCCTAAAAATGTTGTCGGCATTAAATAACCCATTGAGGTTGATATGCCGTTAAACAAAATAAACCAAACCAATCTAAACAAATGAATACATATTCTATTCATACAAAACTATCGTAAAAATGTTGTCGGCATTAAATAACCCATTGAGGTTGATATGTCGCTAAAGAAAATAAAGCAAACCAATCTAAACCAAAGAATACATATTCTATTCATACGAATCTATCCTAAAACACTTGTCATCATTTAATAACCCATTAAGGTTGATAAGCCTTTAAACAAAATAAACGAAACCAATCTAAACCAAAGAATACATATTCTATTCATACGGATCTATCCTAAAAATGTTGTCGGCATTAAATAACGCATTGAGGTTGATATGCCGTTAAACAAAATAAAGCAACCAAATTAAACCAAAGAATACATATTCTATTCATACGAATCTATCCTAAAAATGATGTCGGCATTAAATAACCCATCGAGGTTGATATGCCGTTAAACAAAATAAACGAAACCAATCTAAACCAAAAATACATATTCTATTCATTCGGATCTATCCTAAAAATGTTGTCGGCATTAAATAACCCATTGAGGTTGATATGCCGTTAAACAAAATAAACCAACCCAATCTAAACCAAAAGAATACATATTCTATTCATACAAATCTATCCAAAAATACTTGTCATCATTTAATAACCCATTGAGGTTGATATGCCGTTAAACAAAATAAACCAACCCAATCTAAACAAAAGAATACATATTCTATTCATACAAAACTATCGTAAAAATGTTGTCGGCATTTAATAACCCATTAAGGTTGATATTCCGTTAAACAAAATAAAGCAAACCAATCTAAACCAAGGAATCTATTCATACGAATCTATCCTCAAAATGTTGTCGGCATTAAATAACCCATTATGGTTGATATGCCGTTAAACAAAATAAAGCAAACCAATCTAAACCAAAGAATACATATTCTATTCGTACGAATCTATCCTAAAAATGTTGTTGGCATTAAATAACCCATTGAGGTCGATATTCCGTTTAACAAAATAAACCAAACCAAACTACTACATATGTAAACGAAGAACAATCTTTGTTTAACGACGTCATCGGCATGAAGAAATATTCTCAGGTGTCTGCTGCACGGAAATATTCTATGTGACAGACGACATCAAGTTCAATCGAAAAGACGATTAATTGACACAATGAAAGGTAATAAACACTGGTTCAGGAATACATCAAAGGACCTAAAGGAATTTGGTGCCCACCGATCCTGTCGATGTCCTAGTGTTCACCAAAACCATTGCGAATTTCAAAGAAAATGGGGTCATAAAAATCACAATTGAAAGAGAACAAGACCCCCGTTTAACTTTGGTATTCATCGCAACCATCAGCTTCCACTGTCTGCACTGCCTCTGGACTCTGCGCACCGAAAGTTGGCTTGTGGTGCCACGACCGGATCTAATGATATTTGGAAAAGCAAAAATTTCTTCTGACACGAACAACTATTATTATTATTATTATTATTATTATTATTATTATTATTTTTTTTATTATTTAACAAAACGATTGACGTAAATCTTCCAATATTCTCCAACACTAAACGAAGAGCGCAATTTATGAAAAAAAAGAGAAAAAAAAACAAGACACCGGGTTTAACAATTTTCAACAATGTTAACATTTTTAAACACTGTTCAACAATATTTACCAGTGAAAACGTATTTGTTCTTAAAACAAACGACGCGTGTACAATGACTTGTTATTTATTGTAGATTTTAAAAAATACTTTATATTGCATGCAATTTTTAAATATGTTGTCGAAATATTATTGAACATTGTTAAACACTGTGACTTTTCTTTTCTTAAATCACGTTTATTATGCACGGCTTGTGTTATTATTATTATTATTATTATTATTATTATCAAAATGTATTATCATTTTTATAGGCCATTACTCCAAAACTCCTTTCATGTCGACATCTAAAGACTATGATTTTCGATATATTTATATCATTTTTATATATCAGCGTGACAAAGGTATATTAAATTGTTATATACATTTAGCCAAAAGCTTGTAATCCACACATCAAATATTTGTATTCTTGTTCATCATCATCATCATCATCATCATCATCATCATCATCATCATCATCACCTTCTTCTTCTGCTTCTTCTTCATGTTGTTGTTGTTGTTGTTGTTGTTATTGTTCTTCTTCTTCTTCTTGTTTTATTTTCTCATCCTTCTTTTTCTCCTTTCTCTACTTTTCCTATTTCTTTTTCCTTTGGTTCTTCTCCTCCTCCTACTTTTTTCCTTATCTTTCTTCTTCTTCTATTCTCCTTGTTCTTCTTGTTAATATTCCCCTCCTTCTTTTTCTCCATTTTCTTCATTTTCTACTTCTTTTTCTTCTTTTTTTCTTCTTCTTCTTTTTCCCTGTCTTCATGTTTTATTTTCTCATCCTTCTTTTTCTCCTTCTTCTTCTTTTCCCATTTCTTTTTCCTTGTCCTTCTTCTTCTCCTTTTTTTTTCTCCATGTTCTTGTTCTTCTTCTATTATCTTTCTTCTTCTTGTTAGTCTTCTTCTTCTTTTTCTCCTATTGTTTCATTTTCTACTTCTACTTCTTTTTCTCCTTGGTCTTGCTGTTGTTTTCTCTTCTTCTTCTTCTTCTTCTTCTTCTTCTTCTTCTTCTTCTTTGCTTTTCTTCTCCGTCTTCTTTTTTCTTCTTTTTTCTTCTTCTTCTCGCCGTTCCTCTTTTCCTCCTACTTTTTCTCCTTGGTCTTGCTGTTGTTTTCTTCTTCTTCTTCTTCTTCTTCTTCTTCTTCTTCTTCTTTGCTTTTCTTCTCCGTCTTCTTTTTTCTTCTTTTTTCTTCTTCTTCTCGCCGTTCCTCTTTTCCTCCTACTTTTTCTACTTGTTCTTGCTGTTGTTTTCTTCGGCATCATCATCATTATCATCATCATCTGTCTTCCTTGTTTTTTCTTCTTCTTCTTCTTCTTCTTCTCGTCGTTCCTATTTTCCTCCTTCTTTTTTCTCCTTGTTTTCATCTTCTTCTTTTTCTTTTTCTCCTTGTTCTTTTCCTTGTTCTTCTTTTTCTTCTTTTACTTCTTCTCTTTCTCTTTGTTCCCTTTCGTCTTCTTCCTTTACTCTTGCTCTTCTTGTTCATCTTCTTATTCTTCTTCTTCTTCTTCATATTCTTTTTCTTATTCACCTCCTCCTCCCACTCCTCCTCCTACTCCTCCTCCTTCCTTCTTCTTCTTCTTCTTCTTCTTCTTCTTATTATTATTATTATTATTATTATTATTATTATTAAAGATGAAAGTTACAACCTTTGTTGCTTCATGAATGTTTAATCATTCGTTGTAAATGCGAGAAATCGGAAACGGACTTAATAAATTTATTTTTAAAAGAAAATAACAGCGACGTTCGGACCTTGACGAGAGGTCCGGCAATTGAAGATGAAATTTAAAACTCTACACATACAATCCAGTGTCCTTGTAAGAAGAAATTAATAAATACAGAGAAACCGACCCTAAATATATGCAAAACGAAATTCATTATAATTCTTTTTTTTCAAACTCTGCTAGTGTAAAGGCAGAATGTTAAAGTGACGTATCAAATTCTGTAGCACTTAAGTAGGAAGCCATAGGTCGAGATTTCCTGGAATTTTACAAAAACGTTTCTTAAGTAAATTTGATCGTTTACATTATTCAGATTTTGATGATGAAATTATTGGATATGAAGAGCCATTTGAATATTTTTCTCTTCAATCATAAAATACCGCGGTGACAATGAAAGGTTTCATGTATCATCTCCTTTATCTGTTGTTTTGAAAATATTCGTTATCTATCTATCTATCTATCTATCTATCTATCTATCTATCTATCTATCTATCTATCTGTGTCATTCTGTGCATTATCTATCTATCTATCTATCTATCTATCTATCTATCTATCTATCTATCTATCTATCTATCTATGTCATTCTGTGCATTATCTATCTATCTATCTATCTATCTATCTATCTATCTATCTATCTATCTCATGTCAGTTCATTTCTATCTATCTATCTATCTATCTATCTATCTATCTATCTATCTATCTATCTATCTATGTCATTCTGTGCATTATATATCCTATCCTATCTATCTATCTATCTATCTATCTATCATTTCTGTCATTATGTGCATTATCTATCTATCTATCTATCTATCTATGTCATTCTGTTGCATTATCTATCTATCTATCTATCTATCTATCTATCTATCCATTCATTCTATCCATTATCTATCTCATCTATCTATCTATCTATCTATCTATCTATCTATCTATCTATCTATCTATGTCAGTCAGTTCATTATCTATCATCTATCTATCTATCTATCTATCTATCTATCTATCTATCTATCTATCTATCACAGTCAATTCATATCTATCTATCTATCTAATCTGTTAGTAATCTATCTATCTGTCTATCTGCGTCTGTTCTTATCTCTCTCTCTCTCTCTCTCTCTCTCTCTCTCTATCTATCTATCTATCTATCTATCTATCTATCTATCTGGTCTGTTCTTATCTACCTATCTATCTATCTATTAGTAATCTCTCTCTCTCTCTCTCTCTCTCTCTCTCTATATATATATATATATATATATATATATATATATATATATGCATATATACATATATATATAACATCAATCTGTACATGTATCTCAGTCCGTTTATTTGTCTTTCTGTGTGTAATAATACAAATTACCTTAATTTCGATATATATATATATATATATATAAAATTAATGTAATTTGAATATATATATATATATATATATATATACAATAAAATTTCATATATATATATATATATATATATATATGTGTGAAATTTTATTGTATGTATAAAAGATATGTGCCAAACCTTTGTATGTAAAATCTTTTGTTCAAGGACTTGTTTCAATTACACAAATTCTCGGCCCTGTCAGCGCTGCTATGTATACTCTGACTATTTCACTTGCGAAGTCGTAAGCGTACTCCTAAAATGGACCATCTGACATGTAAATGCTTATAGACTTTAATATTATCGACAAATATTTACCTATCGACCAACCAAGTAAATTCCTATAGACTCAAATATGACCGGCCAATATTTTCCTATTCATGAACGAATTAGATACAATACATAAACAATATATAGATACATATAATATATAAACAATATATAGATACAAATATAAACAATACGCATTTACCTACCCCGAACAAACTGTATACATATAGATTCAAATAGTTATTACTTTTATTTGTTTCAGAATGAGTGATCATAATTACATTTATCCTTCTCTGATTTTTTTAATTAACCCAAACGAGGCGGAATGCAACTAGTACGCAGGGGGTTACGGGGAGGGAACGTAATTGAAATGACTGAGTATAGGGAGGATTGAGAAAAGGACAAAAGAGGAACAAAGATAGAAGATGGCGATAGACTATACCATGAGCAACGGCGAAGTTTTAGAGAAAATTGAAACAAAAAGGAGACTTATAGTTCCAGTCTGAAAAAAGCAGTTGCCAATTCTAGGACAGATAATGAGGAAAGATGGCATTCATAGGAGTTATTGAAGGCAAGAGGGTTGTATTGAAATCAGTGAATAACCTAAATGACGAACTTGTGTATATCATTAATAGTAGAGAGATGAAGGAAGATTACAAAACGAAAATCTTTACTGGATTTTTTAATCATTTGACCACAAGCAAGGCAGGAATGCCACTAGTATGCAAGAGATTGCAGGCAGTGAAAATGAAAGAGAAGACTGGAGGATTAAGAAAAGGACAAAAGATGAACGGGATTCAAGAAGATAGAAGATGGCGACAGACTATACCATGAGCAACGGCGAAGTTTTAGGAAAAATTAAAACAAAAACGAGACTTATACTTCGAAGATGAAAGTAACAGTTGTCATTTCTAGGATTAATACTGAGGATAGAAGGATTGGAGAAGTTGACATAGATAGATAGATAGATAGATAGATAGATAGATAGATAGATAGATAGATAGATAGATAGATAGGAGATTTTGAAGGTGAAAGGGACATATAGAAAACAGAAAACAACCTAACTGATGAACTTGTGGAAATCGTTAACAGAAGGAAGATTAGCGACGATGGCAAACAGACAGAATATTGATTTTTTCTTTAAAAATCATTTCTCCCCAAGCAAGGCTGTAGTACACAAAGGGGTTACAGGGAGTGAAAGTGAGAGAAAAAAGCCGAGAATAGGAAGGACTGAGGAAAGAACAACAGACTAACAGAAGATAGATGGCGATTGACGTTGCATTTACATTTTCGTAGGTTGTAGTTATCAGGAAAGCAAGTAAACCAAAGTAAATTCCATAGACGAGAAGTTCGAGAAAAGCAGGAGTGGGGGTTCCATTTAGCTATATCAACAGTAAAAGGGTGGGACTTACATGCCAATCTAGTGGTACGCTTAAATTAATGCAGTCGGAACACGAGGGGTGGGGGAAAATAAACTTGCTATATTTGTAGAAAAACAGAGGGGAAGCCTCGTTATGTTGGTAAGAACTTGAGTGAAGACCAGATACCAAGTAAGGATCGATGACATTAGATCTTTCTTTGTATTTCGCCAAAGACCTCGCGATAAAGAGAAGAAGCACGAGACGAAACAGTATACAAAGCGAATGGTACATTTGTCAAAGGCGAATGGTACATTTGTAAATATACAAGACGTAATCTGACGAGAAAAAAATTTCTGGGGCTACACAATAACCCAAATTTCCTTGCAGTAGATGCAGCTGTTGATTCGATGTAATCGCGAAACTTCAAGTCAGTTGAAAACTTGAAGCCAAAAAGGCGCAGTTTGTTGCTCTCCAGGAGTTTAGCGCCAGACAGAAAAGTCCCTCTATGGTAGTTAAATGAGAACAGTTTTGTTTTAGAGACATTAAAATTTACAAGCCATTTCTTGCCCCAATTAACCACTGATTTATGAACGAATTAATTAGCAGATTTCAACATTGATATGACTATTGAATTGTCGTTAGAAATATGTATTCTAATGCACTACCTACTGATTGGTAATTTCTTGCTCAACTTGGCATCCATATTCTCTCATTCGGATCTTGCTGATGTGACCTCCATTTTCTGGCTTTCGCCTTCTAAATGTTGGATAGGAGTCATTCTCTTGTTCAAATTTGATTTAATTTAAATCAAAGGGAAACAAATTTCAGTCAGGGGGTATACAAAAACAGCTTGATCTGACTCATATGTATATGATGCAATACTTGATTGAATCAATTAATTAGCAGATTTCAACATTGATATGACAATTGAATTGTCGTTAGAAATATGTATTCTAATGCACTACCTACTGATTGGTAATTTCTTGCTCAACTTGGCATCCATATTCTCTCATTCCGATCTTGCTGATGTGACCTCCATCTTCTGGCTTTTGCCTTCTAAATTTTGGATAGGAGTCATTCTCTTGTTCAAATTTGATTTAAGTTAAATCGAAGGGAAACAAATTTCAGTCGGGGGTATGCAAAAACAGCTTGATCTGACTCATATGTATATGATGCAATACTTGATTGAATCAATTGATTAGCAGATTGCAACATTGATATGATAATTGAATTGTCGTTAGAAATATGTATTCTAATGCATTACTTGCTGATTGGTAATTTCTTGTTCAACTTGACATCCATATTCTCTCATTTTGATCTTGCCGATGTGACCTCCATCTTCCGGATTTCTCGTTCTATATTTTGGATAGGAGTTATTGCCTTGTTCAAATTTAAATCAAAGAGAAAAGCAGTTGGGGTTTGCGCTCTGCGGTGACTCCATTTTGACAAAAATGAAATATACTTATCCAAGTAACCTAGGATCCATCCCCTTGTTCAAATTTAAATATAATTTAAATCAAATGAACAAAAAAGAATTCGTGTGGTGGCATTCCCGCAGAGAACGCCCTTGGATCAAAATGAAATATACTTATTCAAGTTCCCTCGATAATGACTTTTCATAATATATATGGTTACGGGGGTCTATCTCCAAAACGCTAGGAGGAATTCGATGAATTGATGAGCAGTTTTCAACAATGATATAACAGGTGAATTGTCGCAACAAATATGTATTGTATTTACATTATTCGGAATATTGTCCTCATCTTGGTCGCCATATTTATTAAAACGTTTCGGCCGTTGTACGCGCCGGCCTTGTTCAGGTGGTTGAAATGTCTAACTGAACCCTTTATTTCGCTCATTGGGGTAGATTGTTCTAGTTCCACGTGCCATGTCTATTGGATGTCAGTTATCAGTTATCTCCTTATAATCCCCCTCTAAAAGTTCTCCACTGCCTTAACCGGGTATTGAACTCACACACTTTGGGTCTTGTCACTGGATTTAACTAACGCCTTTATCCATGTGTCCTCTGTCATGTTTTCTTTCAAGGAATCTTGCACACAACACATGTACGAGCGTGGGGAAAGCCGTTTTCTCTTTTACAAATATGATGAGGATACGGAGGATAGATAACGGCTGGCGCTTGTTTTGAAGAGGTTTAGATTGTAATTCCAAGGTATGACGATAAACTGCATCCTGCAGCATGTTCTCTGATCAGAAGATTGGAGGCATAGATAAGCGTAGGACCACCTCTTAATTGTTATTGATCCCAGGTCCAATTTGACCCCCTTAGGGTCCCAGCTGTGCGCAAATAGTAAACCCTCAATCAAAAAGAAAAACACTATGAAAGTATAAAAATGGATTTTATAATAAAAAATACCAGTAATACATTTTATATAAAAATACCACGAATACATATTTATACTAAAATGACCAACAAAACATTTTTAAAGCAAACTGACCAGCAATACATTTTATAGTAGAACTATTAAAAATACATTTTATAGCAAAGTGACGCTAACCCTGATGTTTTCTCTTGTACAATTCTTATCAAATTAATTTCCGCCAGTTTTTTTTAATGTTTTAATTATATATCAACCAGTATTTTAAACTAGCGAAGCGGCCAGTCAAATACTTACGTTTTGAAATATAGCGACTATCTTTATGATGGATAGCAGGTCATCATCATCGAAGTTTTTGAATAGATTCCTCATGCTGTTCACATTATGAAATCCCTTTCTTCAAGAAAATATTAGTGTTACATGAATTATCTCCCTTATAATCTTTCACATGCTGTCGTGAAGTAAAATGACTACGAAACAAAAATCAATGTGACTCTAAATTCACACCAAAGACTTACATTGATGTTTTTTTTTAATTTTTTTTACTCTCAAGGTTGCTGTTACATAATTCGGAGACATATTGTTTCTCGCCTATACCACTGAATATTTCTTTACGCCACAAGTAAGGTTGAGGAAAAGATTATTCATTTGGATTATAATATTCGGGCATTTCGAATTTTGACAGAAGAGAAAAACGAAATACTAAACAAGGTATTTTGGTATCTCCAATTTGCAATTCGCTTTTTGGACTCATTAAAAGGCTATCGGAAAGTGCGACACTGAAATCCGAAGGCGTATTGGGATAGCCAATGATGTAATGAATATGCATACATCTGGTTTCCCCCACACACTAATATGATTGGCTGGTGTCAGCCATAAATACAGACTGATGTGGAGGTAGAGAACGACGCCTATTGTCTTCGCCTATTGCCTACGCCTATTGCCTACCACTACGACGAGGACCAGTCCATTACAGTTACCTGCTAGATTGTCCTACTCGGTTAGATTAGTCCAAAACCACTTTGCTACTTCGAACAAATATATCCCTTTCCGGGACTTATCAGCCATGTATTCATTCCAAAATATAAGAATACAGAGAAATCGAAAATCTTCGCTAGAAGCAAGAAAAAAAAAAGTACTAAACTTTTACGAGATATCTGTCTTTCTACATGTCCATGGGTTTTAGACAATCCTCTCAAAAATGTAGAGAATTGAAGCAACAGAAATGTGGTTCTACAGTGGGATGATGAGGATGTCATGGACGAACTTTTAAAAAAAATTAAAACAAAAAGGAAACATATTTAACGTCAGGAAGAGGCAGCTGAAATTTCTGGGGTACCTAATGAGGAAGGTAGGTTTGGAAAATCTGATACTCACAGGACAGAATGAAAGCAAGACGGATGGAGGGAAAAAACGCTTAGCATACTTAGTGAGATTGTGAAAATGAATAGTGAAACATGGTTGGGGGAAATACAAAAAAAATAACAAAATTTGTTAAGCGTTACAAAGGAGGGGATGTTGTGGGGAGCCAAGTTTGCATACGACCTGAGGGGACACGGCACATTAAGGAGAATTAATAGGGTTGTAATTCAATGTCAACAGGCAAGATTTTCACTTTTCTTCTACTAGTCTAAAGCCAATGAAATTAACACATCCTTACTAAGTACGTCCCTGAAGCCATTTTGTACAACACAAAAATTAGCTTCTTTCCCAAGATGGCAAAAAATATTAAGTAAATATGGAAATTAATAAATATTTTGGGCCTAAAATTTACGATGTTTTCTTCAATGCTTTCTTAAAGCAATGATTCATTTCTAGATCTTTCTTTCTTTCTCCCGGTTTCTTTTCTTCGGTCTTTCTATCTTTCTGGCTTGCTTTCTTTTCAGTCTTTCTATTGGTCTTTTTTTCTTTTGGTCTTTCATTCTTTGGTCTATCTTTCTATTGGTCTTTCTTTCAGTTTTTCTTTATATCATTCTTTCTTTCTTTCGGTCTTTTCTTGCTATCGGTCTTTCTTTCTTTCTTTCTTTATTTCTTTCTTGTTTTTTTTTGTTCCAGTCTTTCTTTCTATCGGTATTTTTCTTTCTTTCTTTCTTTCTTTCTTTCTTTCTTTCTTTCTTTCTTTCTTTCTATTGGTCTTTCTTTCTTTCTTTCTTTCTTTCAGTCTTTCTTTCGGTCTTTCTTTCCATAGGTCTTTCTTTCTTTCGGTCTTTCTTTCTATCGGTCTTTATATCTTTCAGTCTTTCTTTCGGTCTTTCTTTTCATCGGTTTTTCTTTCTTTCTATTGCTCTTTCTTTCTTTCTTTCGGTCTTTCTTTCAGTCTTTCTTTCCATCTGTCTTTCTTTCTTTCAGTCTTTCTTTCCATCTGTCTTTCTTTCTTTCAGTCTTTCTTTTTATTGCACTTTCTTTCTTTCGGTCTTTCTTTCTTTCAGTCTTTGTTTTGGTCTTTTTTCCATCGGTCTTTCTTTCTTTCAGTCTTTCTTTCTATCGGTCTTTCTTTCTTTCAGTCTTTCTTTCGATCTTTCTTTCCATCGGTCATTCTTTCGGTCTTTCTTTCTATCGCTTTTTCTTTCTATCGGGCTTTCTTTCTTGGTTGCTTTCTTTCGGTCTTTCTTTCCATCAGTCTTTCTTTCTATCGGTCTTTCTTTCTTGGTTTCTTTCTTTCGGTCTATCTTTCCATCAGTCTTTCTTCCTTTGGGTCTTTCTTTCTCTCGCTCTTTCTTTCCATCGGTCTTTCTTTCTTTCGGTCTTTCTTTCTATTGGTCTTTCTTTCTTTCAGTCTTTGTTTTGGTCTTTCTTTCCATCTGTCTTTCTCCCTTTTGGTCTTTCTTTCTCTCGCTCTTTCTTTCCATTGGTCTTTCTTTCTATCGGTCTTTCTTTCTTTCGGTCTTTCTTTCCATCAGTCTTTCTTCCTTTGGGTCTTTCTTCCTTTGGGACTTTCTTTCCATCGGTCTTTCTTTCTTTTGGTCTTTCTTTCTATCGGTCTTTCTTTCTTTCAGTCTTTGTTTTGGTCTTTCTTTCCATCGGTCTTTCTTTCCATCGGTCTTTCTTCCTTTTGGTCTTTCTTTCTCTCACTCTTTCTTTCCATCGGTCTTTCTTTCAGTCTTTCTTTCTATCGGTCTTTCTTCTTATCGGTCTTTCTTTTCATCGGTCTTTTTTCTTTCTTTCTTTCAGTTTTTCTTTCCATCACTCTTTCTTTCTTTCAGTCTTTCTTTTGGTCTTTCTTTCCATTAGTCTTTCTTTCTTTAGGTCTTACTTTCTATCGCTCTTTCTTCTTTCGGTCTTTCTTTCTTTTAGTCTTTCTTTCTTTCGGTCTTTCTAATGCTCTTTGTTCTTTCTTTCTTTTGTACTTATTTTCTATCACACTTTCTTTGTTTCAGACTTTCTTTTGGTCTTTTTTTCAATCAATCTTTCTTTCGCTCTTTTTTTCTATCACTCTTTCTTTCTTTCAGTCTTTCTTTCTTTCAGTCTTTCTTTCAGTCTTTCTTTCCATTGGTCTTTCTCTCTATCGCTCTTTCTTTCTTTCGGTCTTTCTTTCTATTGGTCTTTTTTCTTTCTTTCTTTTGATCTTTCTTTCTATCACTCTTTCTTTCTTTCGGTCTTTCTTTCTTTCAGTCTTTCTTTCGGTCTTTCTTTCCATCAGTCTTTCTTTCACTCGGTCTTTCTTTCTATCGGTCTTTCTTTCTATCAGTCTTTTTTCTTTCTTTCTTTCGGTCTTTCTTTCTATCACTCTTTCTTTCTTTCAGTATTTCTTTCTTTCAGTCTTTCTTTCGGTCTTTCTTTCCATCAGTCTTTCTTTCACTCGGTCTTTCTTTATATCGGTCTTTCTTTCTATCAGTCTTTTTTCTTTCTTTCTTTCGGTCTTTCTTTCTATCACTCTTTCTTTCTTTCGGTCTTCTTTTATTTCAGCCTTTCTTTCGGTCTTTTTTTCCATTGGTCTTTCTTTTTTTCAGTCTTCTTTCTTATCGCTCTTTCTTTCTTTTGGTCTTTCTTTCTATCACTCTTTCTTTCGGTCTTTCTTTGCATCGATCTTTCTTTCTTTCGTTCTTTCTTTCAGTCTTTCTTTCTTTCACTCTTTCTTTCACTCTTTCTTTCCATCGGGCTTTCTTTCTATTGCTCTTTCTTTCTTTCGGTCTTTCTTTCCATTGATCTTTATCTTTCTTTCTTTCAGTCTTTCTTTCTATCTCTCTTTTTTCTTTCTTTCTGTCTTTCTTTCTATCTCTCTTTTTTCTTTCTTTCTGTCTTTCTTTGTATCACTCTTTCCTTCTTTCGGTCTTTCTTTCTTTCAGTCTTTGTTTCGGTCTTTCTTTCCATTGGTCTTTCTTTCTTTCAGTCTTTCTTGCAGTCTTCCTTTATATAATCCTTTCTTTCATTCTTTATTTCCTTTTTTTTTTTCCTTCTGTCTTTCTTTGTATCGCTCTTTCTTTCTATCGTTCTTTATATCTTTCGGTCTTTCTTTCCATCGGTTTTTCTTTCTTTCTATTGCTCTTTCTTTCTTTCAGTCTTTCTTTCTTTCAGTCTTTCTTTCCAACTGTCTTTCTTTCTTTCGGTCTTTCTTTTTATCGCACTTTCTTTCTTTCGGTCTTTCTTTCTTTCAGTCTTTCTTTCCAACTGTCTTTCTTTCTTTCGGTCTTTCTTTTTATTGCACTTTCTTTCTTTCGGTCTTTCTTTCTTTCGGTCTTTCTTTTTATCGCACTTTCTTTCTTTCGGTCTTTCTTTCTTTCAGTCTTTCTTTCTTTTGGTCTTTCTTTCTTTCGGTCTTTCTTTCTTTCGGTCTTTCTTTTGTTCTTTCTTTCCATTGGTCTTTCTTTCTTTCGGACTTTCTTTCCATCGGTCTTTCTTTCAGACTTTCTTTCTATTGGTCTTTTCTCTTTCTTTCTTTCAGTCTTTATTTCTATCGCTCTTTCTTTCTTTCTTTCTTTCTTTCTTTCTTTCTACAATTAATGTATTTCTTCTGCTGTTTTTCTTTCTTCCTTTGGCTTTATACATTTTCATTTTCCTCTCACTTCTTCAATTTTCTTTATGTACTTCTCATTTCACCTGCTCCTCACACCAACACTTTCTCCTTCTTCCTCTTCTTCTTCCTCTTCTTCTTCTTCTTCTTCTTATTATTATTATTATTATTGTTATTATTATTATTATTACTTATATAAACAATTAGCGAATATTCAGAGAGGTTCGTCCTCTTCGTTGTTATAGCTTCTGACACACGTACAAACTGACGACCAAACTTTTTAACCGTTCAACTTACGGCATCTTCAGAGACATGAAGTATTTTTGAGTGCATAAATCATTCTGTGTAAATAGAAAAATTAACTATTACGCGACTATCGTCTTCAATTCACTTATGACAGAAATAAAACAAAAATTAAAACGTGAAAATATACTGAAAAATTTGTGACTTAGTAAAATTCAAAAATAGCGTTTTAAAATCTGTTTGGAACAAATTCTGACAGAAAATGAGTTAAATAAAATAAGAGCGTTTACAACAGCTACCCACCTCTCTCTTTTTATCTTTCTATGTGTGTGTGTATCTATCTATCTCTCTATCTATCTATCTATCTATCTATCTATCTATCTATATATATATATATATATATATATATATATATATATATATGTATGTATATTTCCTTTGTAAATCATTAGCGGGTCTTAAATGCCACTTAAAATTATCGCATAAACTTTCATAACTGAATCAATAAGCTGGCAGATCCTCATACGTCGAAACCGACGGAAGAGTCCATTATGTATATTTCAGTCTATTCGTATCTATGCATTTCAATCTAGTCATCTCTCTCTCTCTCTCTCTCTCTCTCTCTCTATATATATATATATATATATATATATATATAAAACAACTAAAAAGTTGCAAATTAAAAATAATAATAATGTTTTTAATGAAAGTATTTATTTATATTTGATATTTCAGATCGACCTCGATCTTTCTTCAGAAATAACTGTTTTTAGAGGTTTGTTTACAAGTAGCGTCCGTTGCGAGATGCGGACGTCACGTGATATGGAACGCCACTGTGTTCGAATATTTTTAACGTAAATCTAACTGTAATAATATTTTAGATGTTGTTTAAAAATTTTTTTGAACTATATCTAAACAAAATGTTTAACTATTGAAATATTTATAAAGATTTAAAATACCCAAGTCTTTATTTAACCCTAGTTTATATGTATTAGATTTTAAAATCCAGTATTTTTCGTTTTTTTCTTTTTTGTGTGTATGTGGAACTGAAATCAGAATCTATCAATAAACATTTACAGTTTTCTAATGAGTGTCCTGATTGATTAAAGTGTTCAACTATGGGGGAATAAGGATTGTTTTGACGAATGGTTTGTTTATGATTGTTGAAGCGAAATCTAATATTATTTCCAGATTCACCAATATATCCACTATTAGGACATAAGGTGCAGAATAAATAGTAGATTATGTTATGGCTATCACAGGTGAGGTGAGGTGGGTGTATCTTGATATTGGTGTTGGCTACAGAAAATACATTATCAATTATTAAGTGTTTGCAAACTAAGTAACGAGGTTTGTTACATTTGTAATTTTCTGATTGGTTTGTATTGTTTAGATATTTGGTAGAGGTGAGGATAGCTGATAGGTTAGGTGATTGTTTCTTTGCATTTATGGGTGGTTTATCGAAAATATCTTTGATCTTTTTGTCTAACTGGACGTTCTTGTAATCCTTTTTTTTAAATTGTGAATACGTGTGTGGGAATATTGATTGTGGTTAAAAACCATGGGAATCCGATTGTTGTTTTTACTTTTCTTGTATGTGAGAAGTGTGTTACGATTTATGTGGATAGTTTTATTTAGTGCTTTTTTATTATTTTTATTGGGTATTTATTTTAGGAATTGTTTTGTTAAGTTATTAATGTTGTATAGAAAATCTAGATGGTCTGAGCATATGCGTTTGATTCTTATAAATGAGCTGTATACAATGGATTTTTTAAATTTAAATGGATGACAGCTGTTAAAGTGTAGGAATTTATGTTGGTTTGTGTGTTTATTGTATAGACTGGTAGAAAGTGTAAGTTTGTTTAATTTTATCATAACGTCTAAGAAAGGGGCGGATGTGTATGGGTGCTCCATGGTAAATTTAATTGTATCGTGGAAGTTGTTGCAGAAAGTGAAAAAAGTTTTTTAGTTTTTCTGATCCATGAGTCCATGGATCAGAAAAGATTTTTTCTATAAATATATTGAAAGTATACGTGGCTTTTCATTATTATATTATATATATATATATATATATATATATATATATATATATATATATATATATATATATATATATATATATATATATATTCTAAATCTATATATATCTCAGTCTAACCATATTTATCAATCTATAAATCTTACTCTATCTCAGTCTATTTATATCTATCTATCTAGTGATCTATGTATGTATGTATGTATGTATGTATGTATGTATCTATCTATCTATCTATCTATCTATCCCAGTCTATTGGTATCTATCTATCTATCTATCTGTCTTTCAGTCTAGTCATCTCTCTCCATATATATATATATATATATATATATATATATATATATATATATATATATATATATATATCATATATTCTCTCTATCTAAATCTATATATATCTCAGTCTAACCATATTTATCAATCTATAAATCTTACTCTATCTCAGTCTATTTATATCTATCTATCTATCTATCTATCTATCTATCTATCTATCTTTTAAGAAAACGATTTTATCTTAAAGTTCATCTGCTTTGTAAAATTTAAATGTCATTACTTCCTGTACAGATTTTTTTTCTCAAACCATCCATTTTCTTTTCTCATAAATGTTTGTTGAACTGGAAAAAATACATTAATAATATTGCCAAAGAAAAATAACCCAAATTAATTTTAAATTAGTGTCAAGGCACAAAATCTCTCCGTCATTACGTCAAAGGAATCTTTCTTTTCTTTTTTTTCATTTCTTTTAAAGCTATTATGATGGCACCATCAGCACAGGTTTTTATATCAACGTTCGTTCACTCGACGAACGGAGTTTATACAAAAACACCACGTTATTTAAAAATATATACGACCTTTCATTATGGATTAGTGGCCATTAAAATTTTTAGATTTTTCAATAATTATATATACATAAATTGAAGAATTGCTCTTGAAAACCTTTTTTAAAAAATACAAATTCAATATCAGAAGTAGGTAATTTTCCTTTTCTTTTCATATTTTTGGACACAGGGAAAATTAAGAAGTCATATCAGCTGGCATGACTTTGAAATCTGTCTATATCTCTTAGATGAGTTATTATGACATTATTCGGACAGTTATCCTCATCTTCATTGCCATATTCACAACGTTTCGGCCGTTGTACTCTCCGGCCTTTATGTCATATTTCTCTGTCTATATCTCTGAGATGAGGCATTATGATTATTTGCATTATTTATATTATTCGGACTGTTATCCTCATCTTCATTGCCATATTCACAACATTTCGGCCGTTGTATTCTCCGGCCTTTATGTCATATTTCTCTGTCTATATCTCTGTGATGAGGTATTATGATTACTTGCATTATTTATATTATTCGGACCGTTTTCCTCATCTTCATTGCCATATTCACAACATTTCGGCCGTTGTACTCTCCGGCCTTTATGTCATATTTCTCTGTCTATATCTCTGAGATGAGGCATTATGATTATTTGCATTATTTATATTATTCGGACCGTTTTCCTCATCTTCATTGCCATATTCGCAACATTTCGGCCGTTGTACTCTCCGGCCTTTATGTCATATTTCTCTGTCCTTATCTCTGAGATGAGGCATTATGATTATTTGCATTATTTATATTATTCGGACCGTTTTCCTCATCTTCATTGCCATATTCACAACATTTCGGCCGTTGTACTCTCCGGCCTTTATGTCATATTTCTCTGTCTATATCTCTGAGATGAGGCATTATGATTATTTGCATTATTTATATTATTCGGACCGTTTTCCTCATCTTCATTGCCATATTCACAACATTTCGGCCGTTGTACTCTCCGGCCTTTATGTCATATTTCTCTGTCTATATCTCTGAGATGAGGCATTATGATTATTTGCATTATTTATATTATTCGGACCGTTTTCCTCATCTTCATTGACATATACACAACCATTCGGCCGTTGTACGCTCCGGCCTTTATGTCATATTTTTCTCGGTATATATCTCTGTCTATATCTCTGAGATGAGGTTTTATGATTACTTGCTTTATTTACATTATTCGGACTGTTATACTCATTTTTAGTGCCATAGGAAGGTAACCTTACGGCAGTAGGCAAGTGACTGAAGATGAGCTGCCAGATCAGGTCCAATAATAGTGCTGATTTTCTTTGAATTTTATCAACGTGCTCAAGGTAAATTGCCGAGGCACGGGGAAATATGTGGCGGCAATATACAAAGGATGGGCCAATGGTAGAGTTATAGATGCGTAAGATAGAATTTGGAGAGAAAAATGGCATCGCAAGACACATTAAAACGACTTTCTTAGCAGCTAACGTAGCAATTGGTTCAATATTGTCTTTCCAATTCATTTACATTATTTACAGCTTTCGGACTGTTATCTTCGTCACTATTTGTACATTCATAACGTTTCGGCCGTTGTGCGCTCCGGCCTACTTCAGGTGACTGGAATTTTGAACCGAACTTCTTATTCCATCTACCGGTGTAACCTAATCTAGTTCCACGTGCCATGCCTCTTCCGCGTGTCTCGCTTCTTTCGCATTAACTCAACTCGCCAAGTTTCTGGGTTCACTGCTGTTGTAGTCGAGTATTGAACTCACAATACTTTGGGTATGCTCACTGGATCTAACCAACGCCTTTATCCAGTAGGCCATGAGTTAAAGGGAAATAACTGAGCTTATTGAAAAGTGTGATATATATATATATATATATATATATATATATATATATATATATATATATATATATATATATATATATTTAGCTTTAAAAGAAATCTGCATTGATACCGTACGATGGTCAGTAAAACATAACTTGGTGGATAATTTGGGATCCTCTAAAAGAATTGGGTATCATACCGAAGGTTATGTCTCTGAAAGGCAAACTGCTCACTATCTATCATCTGAGAGAACCCTCTCTGCTTGCCAACAGCATATGGCTGATGTTAACTCCCACGAGAAGTAGATAGATTATATTGAAACAATTTCCAGGTCTGCTCTTAAGAAAGTTCATTCACTATGTCGTCCTTATCATTTTTCTTTTCCGAATCTATCTTACAAACTGATAAGTTTACCATTATTCCATGCATTGAATCTTTCTGCCACCTCTGATTGCGGATTTCTTGCTATATATTTAGAGATTCTCCATAAAATCCAAAAGAGATTCGACAGTGTTATGGGTTCTGGCCGTCTACAGTCCCTTTCCCAGTGGCGTCACGTAGCTTACTTCTGCCTTTTTTTTTATAAATTCTTTCATGATAGTTTTACTGACGAACTTTCCTCGATAGTATTAGACTGAGTATCTGTCCATATTTCTGAGATGACGTATGATGTACACTATTTACATTATTCGGACTATTGTCCTCATCTTTGTCGCCATATGCATTACAACGTTTCAGCCTTTCAGTATCAGTCTATATTCCTGAGATGAGGTATTATGTACACTATTTAAATTATTCGGACTATTGTCCTCATCTTTGTCGCCATATTTATTAAAACGTTTCGGCCTTTCAGTATCTGTCTATATTTCTGATATGAGGTATTATGTACACTATTTACATTATTCGGACTATTGTCCTCATCTTTGTTGCCATATTTATTACAACGTTTCGGCCTTTCAGTTTCTATATATATTTCTGAGGTGAGGTATTATGTACACTATTTACATTATTCTGACTATTGTCCTCATCTTTGTTACCATATTTATTACAACGTTTCGGCCTTTCAGTATCTGTCTATATTCCTGAGATGAGGTATTATGTACACTATTTACATTATTCGGACTATTGTCCGCATCTTTGTTGACATATTTATTACAACGTTTTGGCCCTTCAATATATGTCTATGTTTCTGCGATGAGGTATTATGTACACTATTTACATTATTCGGACTATTGTCCTCATCTTTGTCGCCATATTTCTTACAACATTTCGGCATTTCAGTATCTGTCTATATTTTTGAGATGACGTATTATGTACATTATTTACATTATTCGGACTATTGTCCTCATCTTTGTTGCCATATATGTTATAGCGTGTTGGCCTTTCAGTATATGTCTATATTTCTGAGATGAGGTATTATGTACACTATTTACATTATTCGGCCGCTGAACGCGCAGGCCTTCTTTCTGTATCTGTCTATTTTTCTGAGATGAGGTATTATGTACACAATTTACATTATTCGGACTATTGTACTCATCTTTGTCGCCATATTTATTACAATGTTTCGGCCGTTGTACTCTCCAGCCTTCTTCAGGTGGTTGAAATGTCGAACTTAACCTTTATTTCGCTCACTTTGGTAGACTGTTCTAGTTCCACGTGCCAAATTTTTTTTCTTTTTTTTTAACAGGAGATAATGCTGACATCCATTAAAAAAACATGACAAGTGGAACTAGAACAGTCTACCTCATACCTGCATCACGTGACTGGGAGGGCAGGTTTAGCCTCAGCCCGGACTCCTCGCCCGGGTTGACAAAAAAATGTTCGGTTTTTACGCCTAAAAGCTCACTGACTGATCACATTCCTCAGACTATCAAGTGATGTCACTAAGCGACCGTCATATGACGTTCGTGACATTCTCTCAGACAAAGAGATATAATGGTGTGACGTCACCCCCGGTGTCGCCGCTCCAAACGTGACGTCCGCCTGTCTGCGTCAGTCGTGCTATCCCGTCCTGTGACGACTAACTGGCTTGGTATTGGTCGCGGCACCCAAATGTGACGTTCTAACCTTTTGGTGATTCGCATGGAAATCTGGTTAGATTCGGTATCAGTCTTGTCGTTCCCAGCTCGCCTCCAACGTCTGGTTACCGAAGTAACTGTTTTGATTTTTAGTCTAACCTACCCACGTTGTGAATTGATCTTAGGCAGACGAAATCAATCAGTCGCCGGTCCGTAATGCAAGCCGAGTTCGAACAAGGGTGATATCGCACAAGTATATGTAAAATAAAATAAAATAATAACTCGAAAAGTTCAAATGTGTTAAAAAAGGATAACAATATTTTATATATGGTTGCTGAATACAGGACTGAAACTTCTTCCCAACCTTCTATATGGATTCGTGACACTTTGTTTTTGTTAGGCGAGTCTTAACATCTTAAGCTGTTTGTTCTTTAAGAAACTGGTTCTTGGTGTATCTTCAGGCGATATTCGTAAAATTTGTTTTGGTGGTATGAGTCTAAGTCGTTCTTCAAAAATAAATTGTTCTTGGCTAGAAGTTGAGGTCGTGATGCCTGGAATCTTTCCAGTCAGCTATCTTCGAGGCTATTAACTCTGTAACTGTCTCTGCCAATTGTCAACTCCAACTGGAACTGAACTGAACTGCCTTTCGCTCACTGCGACTTTGCTTATATGGACGCCGACCAAAACCGGGGTAGGCTTGTCGGGGTTTGAGGTTCCTTGATAATTCTAAACCTACAAGCCACTTCTTTGTTTTCGGTCAGGAAAATTTTATTATTTTCCATTTTTGGAAGTCTTTCGTCTTCCCACCTTCTTCTGTTCTCATATTGGTACCTCACCATGCCCTCAGAATGTGTCAACGGGTTTCCCCTCTCTCTCACAGTGGCATCTCACACCTATCTCTTTAGGGGGCGCAACAGTCCTCCCCTCCTTCTTCACACGATTACCTCCGCCTAACGCTCATGCTACCTTTCAGCCAATGGGCGCTCAGCAGCGTGGGTGTGGCCAGACTAGCCTCGGTTTGAAAAAGTCTTGCTCAAAGAAAAAAAAATTAGTTCCCTTTTTTTCCCTTCTTTTTTCGTTCCTTTCTTCGAGGAGACCTCACCCCCTAGACTCTTATCTCAACCGAATCACCTGGAATTCGTCAATCAGATTTTCGCCAGCATCAAGTGGGTGGCCATTTGGACGTATTTGCATTCTGGGTGTCAATTACTGATCCGATAAAATAGTTTCGCTATAATAGCCAGCCCTGACGATAAACAGATGCTCCTCTCAATGATTTCTGCCTATAGACAAAGGCTTAACCTTTCCTTCATGGTGGTCAGCGGGCATTTTTGTTTTTTCTCGGACAGTGCGTGCTTAATTAATTTTTATTTTTATCTCTTTCGAATTCTGCAGGAGGTAACTTGTCCAACTTTAAAATTCCCTTTACCATTGCCATGGGCATATTGGACATATCTTACTCGTCGCCCCCGTAACATAAATCAGATTAATTCTGTGTTTTGCCTTCTCGACAATGGAACTAAAATCTTAACACTTTTCCTTGTCAGAAAAATAACACCGTTTAGTGTCCTTTTCAGGATGGCTTCCTATCACCTAAATTTAATTCTCGCCTTTCTTTTTTTCTTCTTTCTTTTTAGCAAGCCAAATAGTGTCACAATGGCTTTTTTACCTCTACAGGTTATTCACTTAAATTTGATTACGCAAATCTGTGGTTAATGATAAAAGTGACCGAAGTGATAGTTGGCGATATATTAAAATGAATTTAATTCCAATTGATGTATTTAAATCTGACCTGCTAAAAATAAAGTTCCGTTTGGGTATGAGGATAAACTACATCCGCGTCCTGAGTAAAACGATAAACTACGTATGCGTCCTTGGTAAGACAATAAACTGCATCCGCGTCCTGGGTAAGACGATAAACTACGTCCGCGCCCTGGGTAAGACGATAAACTACATCCGCGTCCTGCGTAAGACAATAAACTACATCCGCGTCCTGTGTAAAACAATAATCTGCATCCGCTTCCTGGGTAAGATAATAAACTACATCCGCTTCCTGGGTATGACGAAAAACTACATCCGCGTCCTGCGTAAGACAATAATCTGCATCCGCATCCTGGGTAAGACGATGAACTACATCCGCTTCCTAGGTAAGACGATAAACTACATCCGCTTCCTGGGTAAGATAATAAACTGCATCCGCGTCCTGGTAAGACGATAAACTACATCCGCTTCCTGGGTAAAACGATAAACTACGTACGCGTCTTTGTTAAGACAATAAACTGCATCCGCGTCCTGGGTAAGACAATAAACTACATCCGCTTCCTGGGTATAACGATAAACGACATCTACGTCCTGGGTAAGACGATAAACTACATCCGAAAGCAAAACCTCTAATCAGGAGACTATAAGGAGCGTGAAACAATCTCTTAATTGTTTGTGTTCTCGGGTCCATCCTGATCCGGGGTGGTAGCACCTGTTAGGGTCCCAACTAGCGGCAAATAGTTAACCCCCAAACTGGTGTCAAATCACTATTAAAATGTAAAAATACGTTTTATTACTAGCAATACATTTTTGAAGAAGAAAAAATATTAGCAGCGATACATTTGTGAAGAAAAAAAATATTAGTTGTAATAGATTTTTGAAAACAAAAATACTAGAGCAGTAAAAATCATGTCGGTATTAAATAACCCACTGACGCTGATATGCCGCAAAAAACCCCCAACACTATACAATCGTTAAGATTGTATCCACCAATAATAAATCCTACTTGTTTTTCTTCTTTATGACAGACACGCTGTAAATGTTGAATAAATCTAGTGAGAAGACACTTCGTTGTTTTACGCCTCAAAGAAACTCAAAAGGAAAGAACTTGAAAGCCGTTTCGTCTGATTTTGGGGGCTACATCGACAGTGAACATCCACTAGCAAGAATCGAAACATAGACTGTTAAAAGACAATGCAAGCATCATGCCATTGAGCCAATGGGTCTCGACGGCCATCGGAAAACTAAGTAACTAGGGACAATAGAACACTAGCAGAGTGATATTTCCGCGGTCCCAGTGATATGACACTTACGTTGTATCGTAACGGTCCGGGTTCAATTCTCGGTAGTCGATGGGATGCATACTGCTAGCAAGTCGAAACGGCCGTTCAGTGCTTTTTTTTTTCATTTTGTTGACCTTTCTAGGTCGAGATATGATGAATTATTATGGAAAATTATTAAATTCCCTCAAAATTACTATTCAGATTTATATATATATATATATATATATATATATATATTACTATTATATATATTTATTACTATTATTATTATTATTACTATTATTATTATTACTATTATTATTATTATTATTATTATATATTTATTTATTTATTTATTATATATATTTATATTACTATTTATATATATATATTACTATTCAGATTTATATATATATATTCAGATTTATATATATATATTCAGATTTATATATATATATATATATATATATATATATATATATATAATACACATTTCATTGAATACGACAGACAAGGTGGTTTTATTTAGTTTTTATACAATTTCTCATGCATTTCTTTTCGAATGATAAATTATATAAAATCTGTCCGAATGTTCTTTTTATCCGAGCGCTTTCGGCTATACATTTAGTCATTTTCAAGGATTACATATTTTAACTGTTAAAATAAGAAATATTTTGTTACATGTATGTTTTATAAAATCTTTTCATTTTTCAAAACACAGTCAAGATGTTGTGTCCATATTCAAAGTTAATATTATTAAGTGTTGTTTATTTTTGTTTTTATTAATAAGGCTTCCATTATTTTTAGCCTATTTTTTTTTTTGCATGTAGATGAAAAAAGAACATTCGGAGAGTTTTTATATAATTTATAGAACCGAAAAGAAATACATTATTAGATCACATGAGAAATTGTATAAAAAAAAACTAAATAAAAGCACCTTTTCTGTCGTATTCAATGAAATGTGCATGAAAGAAGGATTGCTGCCTAACACACACACACACACACACACATATATATATATATATATATATATATATATATATATATATATACATATATGTATATATAAATATATGTAGTTTTTATTGTAACCTAATTAGCAACAATAATGTATCATAAGCAAAAACAATTCATCTAGAAAAATTGAACAATTCAAGTAGAAAAATTGAAAATAAATACAATGTATCTAAAGACAAATTAGAGACATGTCATTATAGATAATTTCTTGTTGAATAAACCAGCAAGGTTTGCGGCAATTTGTGACATCAACTTGAGATTTTTCTTGTTAAAAGTTGAATAATTTTAACATATTCAGCATTAATTTTATACAGTGTTTTTTTTTCGAGACGTCGAGAATTTGGACAAAAAAGACCACAGAATGACGTCAGTATCCGCAAAAAATATTTTCATCCTTTGATATTCAATTGATTATCTATCTATCTATCTCAGTCTGTTCATATCTATCTATCTATCTATCTATCTATCTATCTATCTATCACTGTCTGTTCATATCTATCAACCACAGTCTGTTCGTATCTATCTATCTATCTATTACAGTCTGTTCACATCTATCACAGTCTGTTCATTATCACAATCTATCTATCTATCTATCTATCTATCTATCTATCTATCTATCTATCTATCTATCTATCTATCTATCACATCTATCTATCTATCTATCTATCTATCTATCTATCTATCTATCTATCTATCTATCTATCACAGTATCTTCGTATCTATCTATCTATCTATCTATCAAAGTCTGTCCACATCTATCTACTATATATGTATCACATTCTGTTCATATATATATATATATATATATATATATATATATATATATATATATATATATCACAGTCTGTCCCATCTATCTATCTTAATCTGTTCATATCTATCTATCTATCTATCTATCTATCTATCTATCTATCTATCTATCTATCTATCTATCACAGTCTGTCCACATCTATCTACTATGTATCAGATTCTGTTCACATCTATCTATCACAGTCTGTTCATATCTATCTATCTATCTATCTATCTATCTATCACAGTCTGTCCATATCTATCTATCTATCTATCTATCTATCTCTATCTATCTATCTATCTATCTATCACAGTATCTTCGTATCTATCTATCTATCTATCTATCAAAGTCTGTCCACATCTATCTACTATATATGTATCACATTCTGTTCATATATATATATATATATATATATATATATATATATATATATATATATATATATATATATCTAGTCTGTCCCACATCTATCATATCTTAATCTGTTCATATCTATCTATCTATCTATCTATCTATCTATCTATCTATCACAGTCTGTCCACATCTATCTACTATGTATCAGATTCTGTTCACATCTATCTATCACAGTCTGTTCATATCTATCTATCTATCTATCTATCTATCTATCTATCTATCTATCTATCTATCTATCTATCACAGTCTGTCCATATCTATCTATCTATCTATCTATCTATCTATCTATCTATCTATCTATCTATCTATCTATCACAATTCTAAACAGCATCGTTTTTACCTTGTATCAAATATCGATCTTGGGCAATTCATGTCGACTTCGTCCATTTTTTTCGAACTCTCTCGCTCTTCGACTGAATAGTGAGTTCATTTCTTACAGGTTGGTCTACATTTTCGGCTTTGTGCCAAATATAAGCTGCGCTGTGGCGTAATGCTTAGCAAGCTTGTATTTCTAGATCAATTGGAACTGAAAGGTGAGTATGATCCTTACTGGGCTTAGAAAAGCACAATCACTTCCCATTATCGTCATTTGAGTCACGATTCTGCACTAGATGGCTTTGATGTCAGCTCCCCGCCCAATCATATGAATGCCTAGGTCTTTTTTTATGTCTGTATGTCACCGTGTGTACAAAGCTTACGTTATCTCTAAGGTTTAATCCATGAGAGATTGTGGTCAGCGCTGATAAACTCTTTTAAGATTAAAATTTCCTGGTGAACATCCAATTTGACCATACACTCTGGCGTCTTCCAAGTGTTCATCCTACACATAAATTAAAGATTATTTGTTTAACTTGCCATTCTGTAATTAAAATCAAAAGTCTTGTCTTTGACAAACAACAGATAAGATATTCGGGACATATCTCGATATGTAATCAAGCTGTTCAATCTGTGCTATCTATCTATCTATCTATCTATCTATCTATCTATCTATCTATCTATCTATCTCAGTTTGTTCAGTATCTATCTATCTATCTCAGTTTGTTCAGTATCTATCTATCTATCTATCTATCTATCTATCTATCTATCTATCTATCTATCTATCCCAGTTTGTTCAGTATCTATCTATCTATCTATCTATCTATCTATCTATCTATCTATCTATCTATCTATCTATCTGTTGTGGAGTATTTTCACAGTGGAGGCTTGTATTTCTAATAAGTCGTCCTAAATTAGGTCCGACGTACAAAACGTTAGGAACTTGGAAAATAAGTGTCAATGGCGCAGCAATCTAGTTGGTACTTCAAATGTCCGAATCTCGACTGACGCGCTCAACACCATTCTGCCAGACTTGCCACTGCTACACCTACTTATTATCTATGGGAGAGTTCATTACCAAAGAATAGGTACTATGGCATAACACTATCCCAGTTTAGTATCTATCTATCTATCTATTTTTACATTGTTAAGAGCGAAGTTTCACCTGGTGTCAATTATTGTCCTTAGACATTTCGTGTGGAGTTTGTCTATTTTTTCCTCTACAATCTTCAGAACCATCTCCTAGTATCGTCATTTGAGGCACGGCCCTTCGCTATATGGCTTTGTTGTTACCATCTTTGTCTGTCATATGGGCTCCTAGGTCTTTTTGATGTCTGTATGTGACCATGAGTAAAAAGCTTACGTTATCTCTAAGGTTTAATCCATGAGATATTGTGATCAGCGCTTATAAACTCTTTTAAGATTAAAGTTTCTTGGTGAACATCAAATTTGATCCAGCACTCTTTCGTTTGTCCAACTGTTAATCCTACATATAAAGTAAAAAGCAATGGCTTAAATTGCTATTCTGTAATTAAAATCAAAAGTCTTGTCCGTGACAAACAACAGATAAAATATTCGGGACATATATTGGTATGTAATGAAGCTGTTAATTCAGTGCTTGCTTCGTTACTAACGTAAATAGATAGCGAATGGCAGTGTATTCATTTTGCGTAGATCAGGGTGAACGGCGCGTGTTTCACGAGGTCTCAGAGGGAATTGCTGCAATTTTACACATGTCACCAGTGCAAAGTTTACCTCTTTCTTTCTGACAAAATCTGCGTATTTCTTACTTGGATTTTGGCACAGACTTTGACCGTCGCCCCCCAGGGGAGATAGATAGCTCGGTACTTGCCTGCAAGAGGGCGGGGAAAGAATAGATGTGTCGTGGAATGCCCGCAGCCTTGAAAAACCGGATACCTGGCCATTGGAGAATAAAGTCACTAAGGGTGGCTTTGCACACGGCACGTAAATAATTGAAATTTGATTACCATTCTCTAAGGGAACACTTTCGCCAGCCAAAAAGAAGGAAAAACAATTTTCAGGATTCTCCAAGCTAGTCCTTGAAAGAAAAGTCCACTATTCCAGATTTTCAACGCAGTTATGCCTTTGGAAGTGATAAGGAGCCTCTGTAGAAAGAAATTATTCACAAAAGCTGTTGGCATCACTTACGACAACTAACCAGTTTGAACGATTCTAAGATATTATGGTAATTGCTAATTGTCCTAGATAATGCCAAATCACCTTGGTTGAAATGGAAATTCGAAAGATTATCCAATAATACAATACATCAGCATTTCAAAGTTTTTGGGAATACCACATAACTCGATTTACATCTATCTATCTATCTATCTATCTATCTATCTATCTATCTATCTATCTATCTATCTCAGTTTGTTCAGTATCTATCTATCTATCTATCTATCTATCTATCTATCTATCTATCTATCTATCTGGGTCTGTTCATTATCTATCTATCTATCTATCTATCTATCTATCTATCTATCTATCTGTTATGGTCCGGTTCCTTGTACCACGGTGATAGTCCAAGGTAGAACCAATAAAGAAGAACTCGAACACGGATATGGAATAACACAGATATATTACAAACAGGAATATATACAGAGAAGTAGTAAGTGTTAGTACGAACAATCAGGTTTAGTAGTAATTGTCTGAACGCGACTCTGTTACGGACTGCCTCTGACTCGACTGACTGACTGACAGACAGACTCCTGACGGACCTCATTCCAGACTTCAGACTGAACGGTATTTAGTCACCCCCCACGAGGTCAAAAATATGCCCTTTGAACCTTTTATAAACGGGTTCAGGGTCGGTTTACCTCCTCGAAAGAGACTCCGCCCTTCGGCGTAGCCTCGTTCGGGTTCCTCCCCCCCCCCCAGAAGGCAGAGAGTTCAACCGATCAGACGGTCAGCCGGTTAGCCGACTTCGGACTGAACTCCCTGCTTCCTCTTGAGGCGCAGTATTTATTACATATGGAATAGTCCATTATGTTATTATGGGTAAGGTCCCATAACATTATCCCAGTGTATTATCTATCTATCTATCTATCTATTTTTACATTGTTAAGAGCGAAGTTTCACCTGGTGTCAAATAGTGTCCTTAGACGTTTCCTGTGGAGATGGTCTATTTTTTCCTTTTCAATCTTCAAAACCATCTCCTAGTATCGTCATTTGAGGAACGATTCTGTGCTATATGGCTTTGATGTTATCTTCTCGGTCTGTCATATGGGCTCTTAGGTATTTTTGATGTCTGCATGTCACCATGAGTAAAAAGCTTATGTTATCTCTAAGGTTTAATCCATGAGAGATTGTGATCAGCGCTGATAAACTCTTTTAAGATTAAAATTTCCTAGTGAACATCAAATTTGATCCAGCACTCTTGCGTTTGTCCAACTGTTAATCCTACATATAAAGTAAAGAGCAATGGCTTAAAATAATATTCTGTAATTAAAATGAAAATTCTTGTTTGTAACAAACATCAGATAAGATATACGCGACATATCTCGGCATACATTTTGTGTAGATCAGTGTGAACGGCGGGTGTTCCTTAAGGTCTCAGCGGGACTTGCTATAAATCTTTGTATATGACGCTGGTCATACGTTGTTGGGAAATCTCTATCTCCAGGAGATCCTCCACCCAGGCAGTAGCTCTGTTTTGGGTAGGGGCTGAGGTTAATAATTTAAGGGTAATAAGGGTCTATATGATATGATGTGATAGTAATGTTGCAAGGGGTTGGAGACAATATTTTCACATATATATATATGGAGACAATATTTTCATATATATATATATATATATATATATATATATATATTCGCTGCTCTGAAAATCTTGAATGTATAATAAAAAAACACAATAATAAGATCTTGACCAAACCCCCATGCCTAAACAGTATTAATAAAAACCCTGCACTTAAATCAGACAATAAAAGGGAAAAATTGTGTAACTGTAGAAACCTAAAGACTGCCCATTAGAAAATAAATGCTGCATTAAATCTGTGGTATACCAATGTACTATATCATCCAGTGAGAGCCCTAGCACTAATAAGATATACATTGGGTCCACGAAGAATGATTTTAAAGATAGATGGAGACAGCATAAGTGCTCTTTCAATAATATAAACAAAAGAAATCAGACTTCCCTATCTAAATATTTTTGGCATCTGAAGGAAACAAATAGGACACCTAAAGTTAAATGGAAAATTATAAACAAGGCTAGAACATGTAAAACTTGGGATGACCCATGCCCTTTGTGCCTCCATGAGAAATTGCACATTATTAAGCTTCTAAATAATAATAATCTTTTAAACAATAGACACGAGTTAACGGTTTTTTGTAGACATCATCAGATTTATGGTTTGAATAATTAGCTAAAAACAAGCATACAATATAATAACTTGATTAATCCATAGCCCAATCATCAGAAAAAGATAACCCTTTATGAAAAAAAAAACAAACGTTACGACAGTTTTTTTTTATATGCACAAATCCCTTTCATAAAAAAATAAAATGAAAAAAAAAAAAATTTCCATAGACACGCATACCAGACTAGGGTTAATACATCTTCCGTTTCAAATTTAGACACCCCCACCTTTCCCTGACTCGACATCTACGAAATTAACTCTATACTATATTATTAACACCCAACACCCGCCGACCCAACTTAAACAATTCGCCCTAGCTGTTACCATGGAAATTTTGATTTCAATTTTTAAAACACGTACATTTCAGAAATACGTTATTCCAAAAAAAATTTCGCTTGAAGATGGAACAGAGCTTACTTTAACTCAATTTAATTCAAATAATTATATTGAAGTTTTCGGCTCTTGTTTTGAAACATAAGACTTCTTATGTCGCGATTTGGAATCATATTTTTAAATAAATAATTATATTTATGCTCTACTTTTGTATCGATCACTTTTTTTAAAAAATAATAACTAAAATACTAAGGGACTTTGGATTATTTACCTAACCAGTTCCTTCCTATTTTCTATATATTTTCACACACACACACACACACACACACACACACACACACACATATATATATATATATATATATATATATATATATATATAACCAATAACTAGTAATGATAATGAACAGAAGTAAAATGTAAATGTTGTCCACACTTTTTAAATTTAAAGATGCTCATATATAAATATTCTTCAGGCTAACTAAAAACGATGGGAGAGTTCAGTCTCTCTCTCTCTCTCTCTCTCTATATATATATATATATATATATATATATATATATATATATATATATATAAAAGTGAACATTGAAGTGAACACTCAGAGGCGATAGGCTTTTCATGCTAGACGCAATCATCAGACCGCCTGACGATTGCGTCCAGCATGAAACAGCCTATCGCCTTTGAATGTTGACTTCGATGTTCACTTTTATATTTACATACACTCTGCCTCTGATATTCAGCATTTTCTCCCTTAAAATATACCACACATTAAAACTATATTTCTTCATATATATATATATATATATATATATATATATATATATATATATATATATATATATATATATATATATATATATGCGCAGTACTTAATGGAAAGTGCTCAATATCAAACTCATATCTATACAACTGAATTTATTATTCGATTTTGTGACTAATATTCTTTAGTGAAGTGCACTGAAAAAGAAAGATATTATTTCGAAAATTAAATTATTATTGTGTAAAATAAATGATTTCTTTTCATCATTAAGGTGCAGTCGTGCTAATATACCGGCATATGTTTTGTCATTGTTATTTTTAGGAATTTTTTCGAATAGTTTGTTTGATAGCATCAGTAAATCAAACCTTTTTATCTTAATTAGCCTCACGCCAATTTCTATAGAAGGATTTTTTTTTATATGTTCTATGCCAGTCCTTTAATTTTCTGACTTTCGTAATTGATTTGTCAAATATAGCCAGACTTGCTTGCTTTTTTGTTTCCAATTTTTTTCTATTTTTTTTTTTTTTCATTTTTTTGCTCAGAATTTTTATTTGTTTCATTTTAGGACATTTTTGAAAAAACTATTTTCTATTTCTTTCATTTTGAGATATAATAGGGAAAAAATAAATAAATTATTAATAAAACACAAGAAGAAACACATGGGACGTTAAATATTTCCGTTACACGCAAACTGATATCATAATGTCTGTCTGGGCGGGTTTCAAGAAACAAATTTCGTGAAATTTCACCAAATTTAACATAGTTGAGTCCCTCCACCTGCATGTTAGCAATCAGGTGTTAGCAATTCTTAAAACCTTGTGGAAATACCAAGAGCAATATTCGTTTCAACTAGTATGCATATTTCCCATATATATAAACATAGATAATAATAATAATAATAATAATAATAATAATAATAATAATAGATTTTTCCTCATCGGTAGTACAACAATGAAATTCATGCTTGATGCATTCATCAGGTACTGATAGAAAACTGGTCATTGCATAATTTAAATATTCATATTTATACTGAAGTGTAAGAATAGTGAATCAGACAATTTTATTTATGGCGAGACGAATAATAATAATAATAATAGTATATATATATATATATATATATATATATATATATATGTTTATGTGTGTATAATAAAATACTATATATATATAGATAGATAGATAGATAAATAGATAGATAAATAGATAATAATAATAATAATAATAATAAATCCGTTACTGGAAAGAATAATCCAAGTAGCTCCTTTTAATATAAAATATATGTATATCATTGTCCTCTGTTTAAGTTTTTTTCTTGGTGTACACACGCACACACACACACTCACACGTACACACATACATATATATAAATATATATATATATATATATATATATATATATAGATTTACATATCTTCAAATAGAAACCTACAAATATAATTAAATACAAGTATACATATCAATATGTACTTACAAATTTAATATGATATTCACATATCAAATACTATATATATATATGTATTGATAATATATATATATATATATCTTGATAATATTAGTCGACAATATATATATATATATATATATATATATATTTATTATATATATATATTTATATATATATATATATATATATATATATATATATATATATATATATATATATATTTTCAAGAGGATACAATCCATATAGAGCAATAATATAAAGGCTATAAAATTTATCAAGTCTCAAACACTAATTTTCCATGATTTAATATATTACATTTGGAATATATATATATATATATATATATATATATATATATATATATATATATATAAAAGAGATCGGAAAACATACTAAAAAGTTCCCTTTGAGTTCATATGAAGTGAGATGAAAAGAAAACATGTATACTTCATTTAATCCCCCACCTTCCCCATTCTCCACCTCCTCTTCACCTTCTACCACAACTCACGTTGTACGCTTATACATTTCGTCCACCATTTTTGTTTAAATAAAACGTTAGTAAATCAATTTACCGACATCGCCTGAAGAACCAAAATGTTTAAACCAAGTTAGCGGAGTATATATTGGGGGAGTATCCCTTTCTTCAGAGACAGGCATTCACCTCTGTGGTTCAATGATACTAACAATCACCATTTTTTTTTCTCCTGATAATGCCCGTGCTGGTCGAAAGCAATCGAGGAACGTCATTTAAAAAATGAAACAAAAAATATTAATATAAAACTCCGTGTGGCAGAAAGTTTAATCTCTAACATTTTTATTGTTCCAGAAACACCACCTCCACACACAGATATATATATATATATATATGTGTGTGTGTGTGTGTGTGTGTGTGTGTGTGTGTGTGTGTGTGTGTGAAGTGTATATAAATATAAATAAATATATATATATAAATTATTTATATATTATATGCGCGGTACTTATTAGAAAGCGATCAATATCAGATAGAGCTAACATATATGGTTGGATAGATGTGAGTTTGTGACCCTGGCTTTCACGCTTTAGCGATCGTCAGACAAACTCATGAAACCCAGTGTCACAAACTCACATCTATCCAACCAAATATATATATATATATATATATATATATATATATATATATATATATATATATATATATATATTGTTTTTGTGTA